CTCGAGAAAGTATCTGCTTTTAAGTTTTATCTTAAACGTAAACTTATTAAGGATTTTATAGATTCCTAATTCTAGTTAATTAATCTTAATGAATCTTAGTGTTTTTAAGTAGTTTTAAGTTATTATTGTATTGTCTTTGAAAAGCCTCTAAAGGGAAAGTCAATAAAGTATGTATGTATGTATGTAACTGATGTTGTTTGATATGCGATATGTGACGATTGTTTACAATACCCAATACGCATACAAGATAGACTCAGTTCAACGTAGTTCAATGACACTTCTCTGGGTCTTCTCTGGAAACATTTCAAGTTGCATAGAATGAGAAGTCTTAGCCAGTGAGCAAGCTCACCTTTGAGTCACGCGCGCGAGCAGCGAAGAGCAGAGCGATCCGGCGGGAAGGAGTCTGGTGAAGGAGCGCCAAGAAAGTGAGCCTCACTTTCTCGTCCGACGGCTACGTCGCGCGTGCTTGTGCACGCGCTACAACGCGAGCCTGCTCGCATGCTAGAGAAGTCTGCAGTCAGTGAGCTAAACATTCTTTCCATTTCTATTTTGCACGCCCATTATGCTTGCCACCATTTCTATGACTGGTGACTATTTGGATAGTGCATGCAACATTTATGGCCTTGCAATGCAATCCCCCGCTTGCTACAAGCTAGTTTAAAACGACCAGTTTTTTTTTTTTTTTTTCATTGTAAATAACACTTGCCACGGCTGCGGTTTTGGATTACGGATTGTGGTTTCCGGATTGTGGTTTCCGGATTGTGGTTTCCAGATTTCGGGTTTCGGGTTTCGGGTCGCGGGTCGCCAGTTGTGCTCCAGGGATACCATACATAGTATGAGAAATGTGTTGAAAATATGTTTATATTTTCTTAACTGAATCAATACCTTTTTTCCACAAGCTTCGTGACATCGGTTCCATTTAGCCGGCCAACAATGTTATATCATAAACTCTAGTTCATCTCTAACAACATGCAGCAGAACCACAGCTAGCCTTTGCGCAAATCATGAACTCGGAACAAGAGATTAATGATCTCTTGATTCGGAAATGATGCTTTACTGACGATCGTATGAAAAAACCCTTACGCATTTTTCTTTTCACTAAAATTCACCCCAACTCAAAGAAATTTTAAACGTTATTTAATCTTAATTAATAGGCTGAAGAATAAAACATTAGGCTGGATTATAGCAGGAAACCTCACTTGCCTGGACTAGAAACTTATCGCCACACTGTCACCTAATGTGATGTTTTGTCCTATTAATCATCGCTTGTAACGTATGTGACAGCCTCTAGGTAGAGAGACAACAATATGGTGAAGGTAACATCAATCTATATGTTAATTTAAGAACTTGTTATTAGTCAATCGACAAGTGAGGACTAGCTCAAAAAAGTCATGATGATATTTGTGCTTTATTGTCGCATCCAAGGTGATCAAAATGGACACAATCATAACCAATTAACCTTACAGGAAATAGCAAAATAATATATATCAATATTATTCAAAACGACTTTGGCTCGGAAGCTTCTCGGACGCCTAGGTTGACTAAAACAATACAGCGTAATTTATGTGAACTGTCATAAAATAACGCACCTACATAATTTATTCCACAACGCTTTAAGACGCTACGTTTAATATTTACGTTTCATTTTAGCGACAACTCCGAGACGATGGCGAGCGAGTGTGGTGTCCAGCCGTTTGTGACTCATTTCCAAGGAAAGACGAAGCTTACTTCCTGTGATTTTCTGAAGATTTTCAGGGAGTTCGATAAAGACGGTATGTTTTAACTTACGAGGTTTTTTTTTCGTGCTGTATCTTGAAGCGCGAACAGTTTTCAATAGCGCACTCGTCAGCTTTTGATGTCATTTCACCTGTTGAAAATACGGTTGTTATTTTTCTTATCTTCGATCGTTAGCGGTTTTTATTCGGAAAATTTAGCTACCTGAATAATAACAGTAACAATATTTCTAAACTCAGACAGAGCTTTCTTTAAGCTCGAGAAGTGACCTCTAAGAAAGGCTGTACTGTACGCGAGTCTTCTTTTACGAAAACAAAAATCCATTTGGCTTCTTGGCAGGAACGAAATTTATTCAACAAATATCTATATGCATATATTTTTAAACATCCCTTATATAAACTAACAGCCACGAACGCCAAGCGTTGACTACAATATATTACAAGGTTTGACAAGATCTGACATGCATATGAAATAGAAAATGTTATTTTAATTCGAATTTGGCTGGTATCTTTATTTCCTCGATACTCAAGTCATTAGCAAATATCTGAGCGCAGCTTCACCACTTCTTCGATCTGAATGAAAATCTTTTCCAACATGGTTTGCAAAACCAAGGCGGCTAAAGTAAATAAAACATAAAAATAGTATTGCACTCAACTTTCTTTAATTATTTATTTCGCAGAATAAGATATCTACCCGAGATATCTTGAAAGATGTCGAAACTTCGACGTTATATTTGCACGTTTATTGTTGTATAGTCAATTTAAAAAGAAAAACAAGGCGTTCTCTTTTAGCCGTGTTTTCTAACAAAATATAACGTTCCGTGTCGCTTGCCTTAAAACCATTGTACTGGCTAAAAATGAGGAACAATTATTAATTTTTAATTGGAGTCGAACAAATGTGGAATTGAATGTCTAATCCATCCAAAAAATCTACGACACAAGACTTGGTTCTGCCTAATTAACATCTATTTTCGGTTGTCTTAAATATTAAGAAAGTAGTTTCGTGTTTTTCTTTTTTTGTTTCTGTTGCATTGCCTCGCCCGTTAAGTCACATAAATAATAAATCAAACGCTAAACATAATTTTCTCAGTGAACTGTAGCCTTGATATTCTTTCCTTTCTTGGGGCTCCGAAACAAGCGACCTAAAATATCCGCCGTCCGTCGAAAATTCTAAGATATCTGGCTCTTCATAATATCAAATGTGTGCTATTGCTGACGGCGCAAACGATACATTTTTTGCCCAGTGCAAAGTCAAAAAGGTTCTTAATAGTTTTCCTCACACTGTCTAAAACGAGATAAAAGCCTGTCAAGAGCGCTAAGTTATTTGTGGCGTTTTGCATTTTATGAAAGGCAATGAAGTCTGTCGAAAATTCAAATTAGCACCTGATTGGAAGAACGCTAAATAAAGTTTATGAAGCGTTTTTGCTTCAGTAAAACAAAAGCAGCTCTGAGTAAATACTGTCCAAAAAATATTCAAATTGTAAAATTTACATAAAGTACAGTCTGCAATGATAGCATCGCTTCCAAAAGCTACACAGCTTCAAGCTGTTCACCATTTTAAAGAATTGAATGGATGAAAACGAACTGCTTATCTATTAAGCACACACTCGCGTTATAAGGGAATTTTTCTCTTCAGTATGGTACAAATTTAACTCATTTCCCAAAGGCGCATGCGTTGTAACAGATATATCAGTGCAGTTCGAGATACATAGAATAGAAAACTTTTAATTTTTCCCAAAGGTATAAATGAACTAGGACTGAGAAAATCTTCACTGTTAACTGTTTGTAAACCGGTTTATATCGAGTATGGATTAAATTCCTAATCGTTAGTTTTAGAGCGCCAAAGTTCCACCTTGAACATGTGTGCAAAGGTAATGAAAGGCATACTGTAAGTTGAAAAGATCGAATAGTAAACAGAGCGTTTAGGGTTTCAACGACTTAATGAGAAGTTTACTCTGACAGGCGAAGCCATTGAGGGGTGAGTTATCTAATGGTTTAGATTATTAATTCATGTGATATTATCATAAGCGTCATTTCAGCTGTCGCGGCCAAGTGAAAATTAGCTAGTATATAGACTGCACACAGTATAAAATAATAGAGATACTCATGAGAAGACCAACATCAGTAACATCGTGCATATGGCTATTGTCTTCGAGATCATTTTAAGCACCTGTAACTTCCTTTACGTTCTTTTTTTATCTTCAAATTTTCTTGTTTGGTACTCGGCTCGCCTGTGGAGCTTGCACTCGAAGTACAGACGATATATTAGCCGGCCTCACCCAGTCGTGCGCGTACGGATCTTTTCTAAGGCCCCATCCACACTAAGCCAAGGAAATTTTAAAACGCAGCTTTATTTCTACGGTTATGCCTTCCGTCCACACTAATCCGTCACCAAAACGGAGCTTTTCGAAAGCAATGGCGTCACGATAATCATGTGATTTCCCTGCAAGAGTTTTCTTCAACCACAAATCCAAAATGAACGGTGATTGTTTCGTTTTTAAATTACTCCAGCGTAGCGTGGACGGAAATGCGTTTTCAGAGTGAAACCTCCGTTTTCAAAATCCTCCGGCGTGGTGTGCACTGGGCCTAAGCCAGATGCGAATGTCAGTTCCTGTTCAAATGATATAACTCGATTAAAAACAAACGCATCATACTGCAAGTGATGGAGGTTTTTTAAAACGCCCCGCTGCTCAGACACGTTTTTAACTTCTTCCCAACGTGATCTCAAAGAATAGAAATAAGCTGTACCTTCATTCCGAGGGGACTACCTTATGAAAAGGTCAGGAATGCCCGCTGGAACATTTGAATTGAAACCCGAATTAAAGGAGATCAATCTGGGTGTGGCTCAAGTTTTATTTGACCCCTAAAAGGCTGGTTTTCACTAGCGACGGAGTCCTAGTCGGAGTCGTTAGAGCGCTTACGACCTAGTGAAAATCAAAAATCAGAGTCGTAAGCGGAGTCATAAGCTCGACGGAATCGGAGTCGGAAGAATCAGAACGTTTCCATCTCTTCCGATTGCGTTTACGACTCCTTCGCTTATGATCCGTTGAAAACTAGATTGTCGAAGTCGGAAGCAGTAATGGAAGAACCAATCAATCACAAGGCCGGAAAACGAACATTGTGATTGGTTTATTCTTCCGCTTCTGCTTCCCACTCCGACAATCTAGTTTTCACTGAGTCGTAAGCGACGGAGTCACAAGCGGATGCGGTGTTCTGCTTCCGACTCGGTTGGTTTGATTTTCACTAGATCGTATCGCTCTACGCTTCTGATTACGACTCCGACTAGGCTTCCGTCGCTAGTGAAAACCAACTACTACCAACTACAACTTAAAACCTGAAAACGGAAACGACAGCTATTTCTATCATTCTTCGAGTGCATCGTAATAGATACCCTACGGCGGACGGCTAAAAATAGTGGCGTTTCGTCTTGAGCACCCTAAGACGGTCCCCTGAGTGAGGCCGAAATCCCTGATTTACACCCCATAGCGCAGATCCTCCTCCCCCGGCCCCCAATTTTGCCAAGACATCTAGAGTTGGAATAAAAAAACTCTCCATTGACCCTAATACCGGTGTTGTGGTTCCACGTTCTAGGAAATGGTTTTATCGAAGCTGGAGAATTAGATGAATTCCTTAAAGCTCTCTGGAAAGAAGGCCACCCTGGAAAGGTAAAGACAAAACGTTTATTATGTTCTTTTCTCGCCATTGCGTTTTGACATATCGCTTTAAGTATCGCCATTATTAGGAATAAGACGAAAAAGTTAAGCCAAAATATTACTTAGGATTTTAACTGGAAATGCGTTTGCTATGCGTCGTTTGATAAACGGAGATGTAATTAGCACTTGGCGGTCTACAATCTCCAATTATTATCATCTTCCCTTTGTTTTAGACTGGTTATAATATTATAATGAAAGCTGCCACTCACAGAGGTTTAATTACTGACGAAAAATACAAATAGAACTTAGCAGCTGTTTTAAAAGCATTATTTTAATCATTAAAAAGCCACTATTCCACACCGTTCATTTGGTCTGTCAGTGTTCGATAAACTTGCGCTTGTAACACACGAGAGACACAAGACAGGAGTTTTCACGAATCATGTACTCCTTGGGTACATTTATCCATTTCATGATCGTTTTACATAGTTAGATGTGTAATCCGTGCACGATATGTAAACATAACCAAGTTTAAAACTAAATTAACTCGCCAAATTTTTAAGTATTTTTTTCTTCACGGCCTCCATGAAAAGCAGTTTTTATTTTATTTATTAATTTTTTTGTCGCGGGGGAGGGGGGAATTTATTCTGTTATTGTAATTAGGAAGATGGGTCGGTTAGTTGGTTGTCATAACTAGACTAATAATGGAAATACCGTGTATGAATAAAGTTATCGTATCGTGTCGTATCGTACACACGGATCATTATTAAGGGGGCCAAATTTTTAGTTACAAGTAACCTGCTCCACGCCTCCGGTCTGTAGGGACAAGCGAAAGGAGAACGAAGCGAGCGAAAGAACGAGAAGACGCCNCTCGCCAAATTTTTAAGTATTTTTTTCTTCACGGCCTCCATGAAAAGCAGTTTTTATTTTATTTATTAATTTTTTTTCGCGGGGGAGGGGGGGGGGAATTTTATTCTGTTATTGTAATTAGGAAGATGGGTCGGTTAGTTGGTTATCATAACTAGACTAATGATGGAAATACCCTGTATGAATAGAGTTATCGTATCGTGTTGTATCGTACACACTGATCATTATAAAGGGGGACACAATTCTTAGTTACAAGTAACCTGCTCCACGGCTCCGGTCTGTAGGGACGAGCGAAAGGAGAACGGAGCGAGCGAAAGAACGAGAAGACGCCTAACTTATAAGCAATAAGCACCAAACTTTAACATTACATATCGTGTAGATGGGTTATGCCGTTACTACAGAAACCTGTTATGTTAAGAAGATGACCATAACTTGTTAACTGATAACTGGACATTCGTTTCATATCATGATGTGTCAGCATGGCCTGAGATGGGGG